TGTTGTCAGGAAATAACACCTAGAAAAGAGTAGTGTGATGGAAATGAACTTAATGTCTATTTCTATTTTAACTTATTGCACAATATGCTTAATAACATAACCGGATAATTTATTGAGATTGATTTCGCCCAAGGCCCCGTGGATCCCCCGCCGAGTGTATAACCCCAAATTTGGAGTATTCAATAGCTTCTCTGTAGTACGGCGTAGAGAATATAAGAACATAAAACTGTTCATAACGACCTCTCGTACTTGTGAAAAAAAAATAAAGGAAAAAATTGACGACTCGGTTGAGATTTAATTGACTGAAAGTGAAACTGAAAATGTTGTTAAACAATCGTCTGGTCATAGTGCTATTTTGCATCAGGAAAATCGCACATGTTTCAAACTAAAATAAGGCCAAGACACTTACTAATGTATTGCTCTTTTAAAGTGCCCTGTTGTACCATCTGATATAGATGACATTAACCATATCTGTATCATTTATGCCCTAATATGGTACCAGAATTATAACGTGACTTTCTGTTGAGTGGATTTAATTTTATACGTACTTTTTGGATTTCATGCTATTTTTTTTTAAACATAATTGATATAATCATTTGACATTGCAATGATACTGTACTTTTAAATTTTTTGAATTAGTACGTCTAGAATGAAAGAACGCAGATGTTTCAGTGTTCTCTACCTGACACACTTAGCCAGTGGTTTTAACCTTTTATAAACATTTTGTAATTTCGTTGTCCTATAAATGCCACGTTTAATGTAGGCGTTATGTGTTAAATAATTTGTTTCATACTCTTGGCCCGATCTTAACACCCCGTCCTAGACGATAAACTCTGACGTGTTAATTCCCCTCTGTGTTGTTGATGCGGACAGAAAAGACACTAAAGAGATACTATTCAGGATTATTTCAACGTTTCTTAAAGAAAAAATGAGAGCTTGGTATTGTGGACGTGGGACTCGGGTAACGGGGTACTTGATTCTGGGTGGCGGCGTGGATAGGGAGTTATTTTCCATAGTTAGAGATAATTACGTCCACAAAGAGAGCCACAAGTGTTGCGTGATACAAGCATATGTTATTATCCAATCTCAGAATTTGTTTAATGCCGTTACACTTTACCAAGGTAGACAAGATCAAACGATATCTCCTTGACCTCGGAGAACTTGTTCTTTCGATCTCTAACCTTTCTCCAGTATGAGGTCAACTAATCACTTTCACATTCTTACGTCAGGTAACAGGTCACGCCTCTATGGTCAGAGCAAGGCATACAGGTGCAGCAACGTGCATATACGTAATCTTTTACTCAGTGGTGTATGCCAGCACATTCACTTTGATCAGTCACTGGGCAATGTATCTCCAGACCGAGGCTAAACGTTAATTTATTACTGTAACTCACCAAAAGAATCACGGGAAAGGATAAATTGTATGTAACAGTTACATTTAAAGTGAAATTCCACACAAGATACATGTGACATTTCTTGCTCTCTCTTGTGTTCTTTGATTGAAGGAATGACGTCATTGAATACGTCAGATTGAGACAATTAATTCTAATTCGTTTTCCTCTTGTGAAACCTTTCCTGCATGCTAAGATTCATATAAACTCACTCCTGATTCTGTAATTATGATAATGATCACAAAACATTTAATTTTATCTGGATAATTACATTTTGTTTACCAGAGATTACAAGTCTCCTTTAATAGACTATTTGAAATAGTCTTGGTCCTCCATCAAGCGTTAACTTTAATCGTTTTTAAAAGATATTATCTTTCCGATATTTATAGTAATCACATGCTCCTAGACGTTGTATGTTTATTCTTGTTCATATTTCCTCTGTTAATATTTTGCCACGGTTTGTTTTTATATCAACCAAAAGGCTGTTTTATCATATTTTGCCACAGTTTGTTTTTATATTAACCAAAGGCTGCTAATACGTTACAAGGGATTCCTCGTTACTATTTCATTGATTTTGTGTTTGAATTAAGATTAATATCAGTGTTGTAATGGTGTTCTGTAATACATTATATCATCTCGACTTGACCTACAATGACGTAGATGTAACAACTCTCGAAAGAATAACAACAGCAAAATGTATGCAAATTCACGGTACATGTAGGCCTATATGTGTTTCAAAATCGAATCACAGGTTGAACAAGCCAATATCCTTCACTTGAACCTAGGGCCTTTTATCGAAATAAATACGATTTTTAAGCTAATGATAATGCTTGTGTATCCCTATAATAACACGAGGTATTATTGATCTTATAGCCCGAATTTGGTGGTTATCACTGATTGTGAGGATTAATATATGTTTATACTAGATATTATAACAAACAGCCAGGTACCGGCACCACCTGTGTGTGCACCATATCAGATGGGAGAACATTCCAAACATATTTACAACAAATTTCAACTTTTAAATCAATCAGCTTGAAAGCATTTGATTCAAACACTCACATAAAACGGGTTCTATTGGCGCGGTGACGATGCATCAAAAGCACCGACAGTATGTAAATTGTTTCTCAGTAAATATTATTTATTTGTTGAACGAAACATCAGCCAGTATATAGATTTAATAAATAACATACAATTGTTGTGGTATTGACATTGTAGGAATACTTTATAAGAAGTTGTTGGCGTGAAAACAAGACTGCATGCATGTTTAAGATAAACTAAGTTGATGGAATAATCATATGTTGATGTTAACTAGAATGTTTTAATATTGCTGTATAATACACCACATGTTTATATGTAATATTTATGAAACATTATATACTTACATAATATTAAAACAGATCATAAATTGTATGAAATTATGTAAATGTGATAAATGTTGAGCACGTGTGTACTTATAAAAGGTCATACCAATGCAGTGTAATACACGTGTGAAAATATCATACTAGAACATATTGATGATTTAATACACGTGTATAAATCTTCATACAGACGTGTAATACACGCGTGTAATACGTTAATACCATACTAGGACACATGAATTATTTTGATACACGTGTGTAAATCTTAAACCTGACGTGTAATACACGCGTTCCAATATAATTCCAAATCTATATGATACACGTATGTTAATGTTACTTCTGAACCATAAAAAAGACATATGCAAATTTTGTACTAGAAATTAGAATGCGTACATTTGTAATGCTATTGTTACAAATGTTGAAGTATATTAATTACATCTTGTACAAATCGTCTTAAGTTACCTAAGGACAACAGAATTACTAGGACGAGGTCTCCCAGTAATCGGTTATTCTGCTGAGTAATTGAAGAATAACAAATTAATTTATGGTGTTATTGTGTCTACAACACTGACAAGGCTGTCAAAAATATACAAATATTCTAAAATGTCAAGCCTAAGTACTTATAGCATGTACTGGAGGTCCAGCTACACTTCATGTGAAGGAGGGTATTATACTCTAGTACTAACAGATTAGGAACATGTTTCGCTGGAATGGTTACTTTAGTATATGGCCTTGGAGAGTCATGGGTAGTTGTATTTTCACGGGCGTTTGGGTACATTGTTGCCAGTAGTTTTCGTTTCTGTAGATGGAGTGGACAATTGTGGTTATCCTCGGTAATAAGGAGCTAATCTGTTCTCGTAGAACACCTGCGATCTTCAGAGTATCTGCTCACACAGCTCACAATCTAATCAAACATTTACCCTACATACCACTTTGTTGTGACTCTATACACAGGTAAGATTTCTTAGACGAAATCCCGAACTTTGCTAAAAAGACCAACACCATATATGAACAATTTATAGTTTGTATTGGACCAACGTTGAATATTTATGACCAGGATTCATGCCTTTTTAACAGCTTTAAGACGGAAGCATTTTGTCGTAAACGTATCTGTCAAATACATGCGATATGTCCGATACCCCCATTAAAACACGATAACCATACATAGAGAATAGAAAACGGTCAAACGTGAAGAGCGAAACTTTCAATATACTCTCGAAATTTTCACTACCGTCATTTTACCATAGATAATCACAAAACCTTCAATATACTCTCAAAATTTTCACTACCGTCAATTTACGATAGAAAATCACAAAACCGTCGATATGCCTTCGATATTTCTCTACCGTCAATGTGGTATATTCTCAAAGCCTTCAACGTACACTCGAAATTTTCACTATCACTCATAACTCATGTTCGGTTAAATACTGCGTCTATCTCATCATTTACAATATATATATTTCAAAATCTAAATGAAATCGTCGCCACTTAGATTGTTAAAAATATGACTACAGGTATTAAGGTTTATCAGTTGATTGCCGTGTTATTCAGTAAATGTACACTTGACATATGTACGTATCAAATCATGTTATTTAACCCATTGAAGTAAAAGTGTAATGACATCACACAGTTTTTGAGGTCGAGTGAAGACAAACATATCACTAGAAATTATAAGATACTTATCTTCGAGTACTATGTTGCCATTATGTCATGACTATAGGTGATGCACTATGACTGGTCTAAAAACTGGTACAATATATCTGCTCTTTCTTTTGTGGGATGTTGATGTCTGATATTAACTCGTTGTGTTTTAGGATATTGATGCCTGATATTAACTCGTTGTGTTATAGGATGTTGATGCCTGCTATTAACTCGTTGTGTTATAGGATGTTGATGCCTGATATTGACTCGTTGTGTTATAGGATGTTGATGCCTGCTATTAACTCGTTGTGTTATAGGATGTTGATGCCTGATATTGACTCGATGTGTTGTAGGATGTTGATGCCTGATATTAACTCGTTGTGTTGTAGGATGTTGATGCCTAATGTTGACTCGCTTTTGTTGTAGGGTGTTGATGCCTAATGTTGACTCGTTGTGTTGTAGAATGTTGATGCCTGATGTTTACTCGTTGTGTTGTAGGATGTTGATGCCTGATGTTGACTCCTTGTGTTGTAGGATGTTGATGCCTAATGTTGACTCGTTGTGTTGAAGGATGTTGATGCCTGATATTTTTCTTTCTATGTTGCAGGTTGTTGTTGACACTGCTGCTCATTTTAAGTTGGTGTGTTGTGAACGCTTCAGGAAACTCTGAGGTAGGTTAAAGTTGATAACGCAACTCACATATCTTCAAACTTCAGATGGTGTTCATATAATGCAGTGAAAAGTAATTAGTATTTTAGGAAGATAATTGTGTCATTTGACGGTTATATTATTTGAATTGAAGCGTAGAGCGTCACATATGTAATAGATACATAATTATTGTAGTACAATTGTGTTGTATTGGATTTCTGACGGGGCAGATGTTCTTTCCACAGCCGGGATTGTAGAAGGAAAAAAACTATTCTGCTCTATTATACCGGGGTAATAGAGTTGATATAAGTAATATGTAGATTGATACACTATATACAGTAACATAGGTACAAATTACCGTGATGTTAGCCTTCAATTAAGACTCCGATCGTATTTATGCCTCACCTGAACCGCTGTACAATGGTACCCGTCCGCGAACACCCCGGGTCGGGGGGGCACTCAGCCACGAGGGGAGGTAAAATGCATGGCATTGTAGCTCAAGTCGTAAAACTGAGATGCTTATTTCGATTCAAGGTTATAAATTGACATTGAAAGGAATTACCCTCGCTATCTTGTAATTTAAGAATGTGTTCAAAATGTGTCGAAGAGAAAAAACACCTCCAAGTGCCTTGTCAAGTTTTTTTTCTGTAAAGATCCGCTTACGCCTGATGTTTCCTATCATATTGGTGAAGATGGATGTGTGTTACCGTGATAAGGAATGGATATTCACAGTGGAATGCTTAATATTTCATAATGTTATTCAGAATTTCACGTTTGTTGCGTTCGAAGAGTATTTAGCCCGTACGTGCGGAGCTTATTATTTCAAAGTGTATTTTAATCGGTTTAGTCAGATGGGTAGTTTATTGTTCGGAATGACAGAGCGTTTTCATATTCATTGTTAACGTACTGGTTTGCCATTTATTCAGGTAAATATCTAGATTCTATATTAAGTTGCCTTACGCGGTATACACGGAGCGTAAAAACAAGATTCTGTATTACTCCAGGATGTAATGATATGACAGCAGGAGAATTAACATCACTGTCATTTCAAAACGAACACAATTTTTTTCCTCAACACAAAGTATTTTTAACATCTTGCACAATTAGGGCAATCCATGTGGTGTTCGTTCTAATTATATATTTGTAAACTATGAATAAGGAACAGAGACGTCTTCAGAAAATTAAATATACCTCAGCTAGTCGTTTCATATAAAACTTATGTCATGAATCACGAGCTTTAAAACGTTTGACTGGTCAGAAAATGGGAATACAGAGAGAATCTTATTATCAGAGATGTATAATGGGGGACAGATATGTAGTAAACATGTCGGGCCTGTCAGTTAATAACGAAACTGGTGCATAGGGTTGTTAGAATACAGGTAAACAAAATGTACAGTATTATATAACGTAAAGTCTATGTCAGCAAACACAATCTGTCTGAGCTGACGAACTCTACATTTTTGTTTTGTGTATAAAAATGATGAATTAGAACGTCGGTTTTATAAACGTTAAAATTTTAAACATGATTTATTACATAGTAAGACACAGACTTATATGTATCAAATTCAGTGTAGTGTTGAATTTTATTTCACGGTGACTGTTTCTTCTCATACCTGTATTACAGAGGAAACGACATGCTAATATTGTTTAAAAATAACGACATACATTATTAATGACGTTATCAGTCTTTTCCATGCTGTAAACATTTTCGGTATGTTAACTAGTCATAATTTTAGTGTATTTTTACGTCGACTTTAACAGGTCATTACGTAAATCATGAATAATATTCCATAGATATGATCCTACTTCGAATTCATCTGCTGTAAAATATAAGTTATATTGTCCAGCTAGTCAAACCTCTGACGCCATTGATGGCCACTGGAGCTCGGAAGGTGACGACAACTAATTAACACGTGATCAATCACGTGAGAAGGATAAAAGTCTATAATGATAATTGAACGATTAATTTGTTTTTTTATTAGCATACGTGCTAGTGGATGAAAAATCCATCGTAATACGACACTTGAAATGCCGGTCTGTCATCGAATTATTGATTAATTCATGGCGATGGTAGATTTTAATAGCTCGAAAGCATAATTATCAATAGATTATAATTAATTATAAAATGTAGATACTTGTCATATCAAATATTAAATTAAGAAAGCAATTCGACAGGGACAATTAAATCAATGTTAGTGGTTTGTATTAATAGTGATATGCTCTATAAAGAATGTGTTATAATTTATATATAAATCAATTCTGCGATGGAATTCGTGTATATAGGTGTATATAAATCACTACTAATCAGCTACTGTCAGTAAATACAGTATTCCTGATTTATAGTCAGTCTGTTTGAACATCAATCCAGAACGAATATATCACACAACGCTATTCGGTAAATCGCACGCTTAGTCTTTTATCTCGATATGCAGAATTCATCCTGAAATTTATTTGTAATATTATTTAATACCTATATGCTTAACTTATGAATTTGTGGTGCTAAAATTAGAACGGTAGTATAACAAAGTCTGTCAACATTCTCTGTATTTGTTGGTTGGTGTGATTAATTGATTTTACTTTTCACACGTGTATATAATAATATATTTATACAAACAAAGTGTAATCAAGGGTCTTTGATTTTCCTCATAGCATATTAACTCGAACCGCATGGTACGGAAATCAATGTCAATATATAGTCGAGCTTGAGAAAAGCTCCGAAAAATGGCAACAGTTTGTACAAGCCTTCTGTGAGACTGTTAGTCTCCACAAACTAAATAAACAACACTTCCGATCAGAAATAATTTCTTACTTTCTTACTGTACTCATTTAAAAATCGATTATGTTATATTATTTCATTTTGGTGGTAGTGTTGTAAATACTAAAATGGCAGTATTATATTTCCAAAAGAGTAGATATGGCTAAGCTGTGTATGCTGTGGTTGTCCCGCAGTCAGCACGGTCCCCTCCATCGTAATGTTTTTATTTGTGCTAGGTAAACTCACAGTATTAAGTATGTATAACCAATCGATTACAACTGAATTGTATTGTAAATATTCTATTAAAATGTTTGCACCAATGTATATGATATCAAGAGTATTGGCCACAGTTTGACCGGAACTGACCCACACATACCATAATATTAAGTCTGGACCGAAACTGGCTCCGACCGATTAGCACTTACCCACTAAAGAAATAGTAGCGAACTGTCATATGACTATATTGGCAATGTCAGTCATATCACAATCATCAACACGTAGGGGTTGTTTACTATGAGATCTTAAAAGTGTGACAGAAAATTACTAAAATCACATTTCATTTGTAAACTACACGGGTACAATATGTAGTAAGACTATCAATGTTATTTTACTACTTCATCATTGTAAACATGTTGAAAATACCTCCAATGATCAGCTCTGTCCGCCATAGGATTACGATCATGTTATATAGGGATGTCAGCGTTAAGTGAATATTATCGTCAAATACATTATACACACAGCAAATCGTAAGTCTCTATCACCTCATGCATCAAATCGACCACAATTATTTGTACACCGAAGAAACATGATGACTTTTTATCAGCCTCGAATTTCATTATATATCATTTTTTGTGAAGCATATGTTATGACACAGTCAAGCACACATTTTATCATATAGATATTCATACCCTCTTTATGGTGTAGTCATGCATGACGATGCGACCAGTATCCCCAGAGTCGAACATACGGGGCGTTCTGTTTTCTGACGAAAGCATGCTCTGCATTTCAATGGGATGTGTTGCGTTTTTAAACCGTTTGACCTCTTAAAATTCATTGACTGGATGAACAGGTTCACAAACACGTTTTATATTTTGAAAGTGCATTTTCAGCCGTAATGTTTATTGAATGTACAAAGAATAGTTTGAAAAGAGATGTTGATTCACACATTGAACTTATTTCTGATCATAGCCTTATGAAAATATGATATTTTCCAGACTAGTACCTAAGATGTCAGAAAGAAGTGGATAGTTAAAGCAATGTGCAATGAAGCATTGAAGTATTGCAAATGTGCATGTTTTAGTTATCACAGAAAAATATCAAATATTTCCACCTACATGTAATGGTCAATCCGTTGATCGACAGTCGAAGTGAACCTCCTTCTCGCCTGAAGTTTTTAAGCTTATGCAGACTGAAAAGAAAGACAGTATTTTTTCCACCGTATGTCAATTTCCTCCATTAAGAATTAAATGAAATATATTAGAAGTGATTCTACATTATAAATCAGTTCTTTTTGATATCTGCCTACAATTTATGTACAGGGTGCTATTTTAATGATATTCGTATAAGTAAGGATTTTACTTTTTAAAACAGCAATAAATTATTCGGCCTTCTCAGATGGTATAGCCACCAAGCGGGTTGTTTGTCAACGGTAATAAATTTCAATGCAAATATTGTATTAGGACAAGGCACAGGCGACCCCTGTGATCCCGTGTGTCAGAACATGGTATAAATTATTCAAATTTCGGAACATAAAACGGATCCACCGAAAGATTTCACTTATCATGTAGTGTTAATTAATCCAATGTAGCTTTGGTAACATTTTATTTCTTGGCACTGGTTTCAGACATCTGTAATATTCGTCGTGAGTAAAAGTCGTACTAATCACTTTGATAAACGTTGAATTGATATATCATTGTAATAACCAAGAAAGAAGTACTTATCTCATTATCTATCTTTGTAATATGTTTTTTATGCAATTAAACTTTATTGAATAAATTACAGTAATTCCCTTTAGTGATTTGTTTCTGATTCAGTTTTGATAGCAAGACTTGTAATACCGGGCCTGTAATTCATTTAATAACTTTTTTCAATTAAGAATGGAATTTCCCGAAAAAAATATGATTTATTAATGTTGACCTACATAGTTGACGAATCTTTAATGTAATTATCTGTTTTATTTACGACCTCTTTAAAATTTTTGAATTGTGCCGTGTAGATTTTGATGCATGAACAGCCTAGGACGTACTGGAGCCGATGACGCGGCTTTTTACTTCTCAGTAAATTGATAATATCTTCTTCAAAGCACCCATGTAGCATCTGTTGAATCCCTAGCCTGCTGCTTTTGAATAAAATTATGTACATATGTCATAATCACCGATTAAGTACCGGGGTGGAATTCATTATAACTTTGATAGGTCGCCTTCAGAGGAAATTATATTCAAGCAGCGTATTTTAAACGATGTCCAGAATGAAAACATGTTTTGAAAGGAAAGTAATCTGCCTAGTCATATATATAGTAAACTAAATTAACACTGTTACCTTGTGCAATACATAAAGGAATGTAAATTATTTATATCAAGTCACTTAAAACATAAGTTATTATTTTTGTCTGTATGACGCACAAACATAAAATGCATAATCAAATCATTAAAATTTGCTGTTTTTTAAATCTTAAATTTATTTTTAATTTCATTCCAAAATTTGAAAAAAGTCTGACCTTCTGATGATGAATTGTTTCAATGGTAGTTTCCACTTCTACCTGAGGACGATCATAAGTACAATATGGCAAAACATTACTCTTCAAGTCCATATCGAATGTAATTAATACAAATGTAAGCTTTGGAGAAATGGTAGGAAGGCTGTCCTTTGTAGTGGTCATATTAGGAGAGGTAGTAGTAAGAGGAGGAAGAGGAGGAGGAGGTGATGGTCGAGGATGGACATTTACAGTACAATATGCTTGGCGTGCCAGCTATGTCCATTGAGTATTAAAGTACAGCTCTTGTCAAATACATTTGTTATAAAAAATACAACAACACCTCCGGAAACCCTTCACAAAGCATTGTGTCCACGTGAGGAAAGTCTCACTCAGCGCCACCTGTGGACGAGATATTGATCAAAGCATTCTGGTTGAAAATGAAAGTAACAACATGCTAAGATGAAAAGCCTAATGTAGTGACATTTAATACCAACATAATCTGGGATAATTCGAATGTACACAAATGACGTAGTAAAGGTCATGAATTTGGGCAAATGTCGATGTTCGGCCGCAGCTAGGTCAGCGAAGTAAGACCTATAGTTATAACTGTCACTCAATAGGTCAGAGGGCTGACTTTTGGTAGCAAATATGTTTTAAATAACCACAATTCTCAGTTGACGGGTCTACTGTTACCTGTCGGTGATGGTCGCTTAAAAAACAAATATCAAATCTAGACAAAGAGGCCTATTGTTATATGATTTACCTGTACAGCACAGGTAATTAAGGTTTATAAAGAGAATAAAAAGGTTGTATTCTATTAATTAAAAGGAAATTAGGCTTTCATCACACTGCCACATCTATGGTATTTCATTGACATATTCAAAACTTGTTTAACTTACCTAAGTCAAACCTAGTACTAAACTACGCTACGACCTGTATGGAATTGTGTACACTAGGGACAAATGTATTATGTTAATTTTGTTTTTGATTCTTTAAAGCGATTACATGCAAAACTAGAGTTAATTACTTCAGTGAATTTTACTGTCACGAAAGACCTTACCGTCAAAGTCTAGCCGTTAGAATGGAGCTTGTCTGACCTGTTTGGCTGGCTCCTTCAATGTTGCTGATCAAGTATAGACACCAAGAGCGATATTGGACGGTTTGGTACTATAACACAGGTGTAGACATTCCGTGCCATGGTAGCGAGAAAGTTCTAAACAATTTCAATAAACTAGGTAAAAGTTTGAAAGATCTTCATCCATGTTGTTGGTGCTTCCCATTTATTATGAATATTTAATCTTATATTCATATATATAAAGGTAAGCTCAAGTTTGATTATACAAGAAATAATATTACCTGGTAGTTGTTACTGTTTTGGAACACCTGGTATTAGTCTTCAGGTATTCAGCAGTCTCCATGTAATTCTTAATTTTGTACATATTTTGTCTAGGTTTTATTAAATTTGAGTTAAGATTATGATTATGTTGACATGTTGGTGATTTTTTTTTTTTTTTTTGGGGGGGGGGGGGTTGTTGCTATAATGAACTACTCTAACTAATAAAACTTTAACATTGTTGTATTTCTGTTACTAAAACTCTTACTGTTCAAGAGAAATAGAAACAAACTACTGTGTTATCAACACACAAAACAACAAAAACGTATTAAAACTGACAAACCCACGCTTGCTGAGACCCTTGTTGATCGGGTCTAAGCTATTTTAAAACTTACACTTGGAATGAGTTTTTGTCTGCTTCTTGATACATCTTTTTTCCTAGCAATTAAAGAACATTATTTGGGTACATTTTCGGCTACACCAGCGTTACTTTAATGTACTGCTAAATACTCCGTCATAATAACACTACCGTGGTCATCAAGTGCACCTGGCAATAATTTCCCGCGTTTTATAAGGAAAACAAGAAACCTATTTTTTGCGTTTACATTAAGTTTTTCTTGTCTGAAATAATTCTTCATCATCGACTCTATCATCATGTAAAAAGGAAAGATATGTCTGTAGGTGTCTGTTCTATACGCAGTCACCGATTATAATTGAGGATTTTCTCACAAAACCTTCACCATGTGTCTGGAACTTACAAGCATAACATTATGTGTCATTTTTCATGCTACATTCTTGCATATTTTAAATAGATCAGCATGCATGTAAATTTCCTTTTATCAGTACATGCTGGTAACTGTGGGACATGAAGCGACATATTGTTACCTACAACCTTAATGATGGAAAAGCCCAAAGTTTGCATATTATATCAACACGTTCTCGTAGCTGATGTTAGCAATTTATTTTGTATAACACAACAACGTCCGCCATAGTCACGTGCTTTATATACTGGGGTTTTATTCGTCTAATTATACCGCCAATTTTCTACAGGACATTACTTAGTTAATATGGTCTTACATAAGTTTCAATTTGGTATGTGATTTATGAATCTCATCACGACTTTGTCATTTTAAATGGCCAAATTTAAAAACATCACATTTTAAATGAAAACGACTTTAAAATCCTTTTTACCTCATTATTGTTGTTTTTTGGGAAATATTTTAGAAAACTTAAAGTAACTTCTGTTGTATGTATTTGTTATTCATTGTTACGTTACACTGTGATTTGTAAACGTATGATGTCATTTGTGTTCCTAAAGTGACGTCACAGTAGGCTTTATTACTCATATGTAGTACGCCAAGATATGGCACTGGTATATTCACAGAATGATAAGAAATCTTAATATGTACAACTCAGAACAAGGGAAATAAAACATTCCACTATAAAGATATATTTCTTGGCCTTTAAATGTGTTTGTAAATTTTGTTTTAATCTACCAAAATCAACATTTAATAACAATAATCCATTTATCTGAATTTTGTTTATCACTTTTTGCCTAAATTATTCGTTTAAATGTTAAGATTTTCCCGTAGGACCTTTTTTTGACACTGATTTGAACTTTGTAATATTTAGTTTTGAATTAAATGTTGGTATTTTCCTGGTTTCATCAATACGTCCATTCTCCACAAAGGGTCATTCTAGCCCATTTAGTGGTAAAACACGGAGTGATCGCGGCGATAGTAGCATTCCTTGTGCCCATTTGTCGCTATCCTACCCAGGCTAGTACCCGTACCAGTTCAATGACTTCCCTTTACTCGGGGTTTTATCGCGGTTCGAAATAACCAGGTGACCCGAGCAGGTTAAGAGTTGAAGTCCGATCCGTGTCTACATCACATCCATCATTTCTAATCATCAGACCCTAGTCATTCCACCTCAATGGACATATTATTTTGGACATTCTTCTGGACATGCAACACTTCCCGTACCCAAAATCTTATTTTAAGACTATGTTGAATAATGATGAAGAGATACAGTTTAAGATGGTGCAGAGCAGCTGCTATGATGATAGTGGTCATTCCTTAGCAAATTGGCTTGAAGGGGTAAATGAGGCTGTTGTTTCGTGTATAGTTTTTTCTCTTATACTCTTTATTATATTTTAAGTATATTTATTATAAAATATGTTTTCATTCAATTTTTTCAATAAGTACATCCAAAATTAAATATGTCTTTGAATTATTTCACAGGTTTTCGATTTTAAGGATTTTGAAAGTGTATTAAATACTGACGAAACAAATCCTGGTGACGTCCTATCTTCCCTTTCCTACCGCTACAGCGTTTGGAACAGTTGCACGCGACGTTATCTCCGCATTCGAAAGCCGGGCAGGAACGGTGTGGACGCCAAGGGAGATAAACACGCCAACGACAGTAAGGCTATTTATAGGATTTAATTGCAACTTATTATAGAATATAATGTCTATTTCACCTTAATTTCAATCATGTCAATGCATAATTGAAAGCAATGAGTTTAAATCGTACTTGAAAGTTCTTTTTATTTTTAATTTTAACGAGAACATCATAATATTTACCCATAATGTTGAAGTATCGAATCTAGATACGGATGTGAGAATAAACGAGAGACTTCCAACACAATCAGATTTATACGATAGAGAAATGTATGTATAAATATCATATGTCAGTATGCTGTGGTGCTTTGTCATACTTGGTAACATTCCTTCGTGAGAACCGATTTTATTCATCATTCATTCTATCAAATGCAGGAATGTAAAAAAGATATGGTACAAATTATCTTATTTGTTCAAACAATTTTACTGATGAAATGAATACAACCCTTCCCGACAATTGCTAGCGTAATCGAAAATTATATATGCATTGTCTCCTAAATCACATCAGAACTGTTTACAAATATGCACCTCTTGGCTGACCTCGTTGGAGAACGAGAATATGTGGCACTTCGGGTGACAGTTATTATTCCAATTGATAGAATGAAATACAAAAATGTACAATAATGGAGGTCTTTATCTCAAATGAGGTACATGAATTGTGCCAGCTTGCATTAAAATCTGGCAAGTTAAAGGAGTATTATAGACGATTTATCTTAGGTACAACATTCTGGACTACAGTATCCATGGTAGACAGCGGCTCAACAATACATAACTGTCTTTCCTTTCACAATGATGACAGGTTGACACAACCTAAACGCTCAGCTTATTTCATGCTATTGTCAATTAAATTTGATTTTGAACCTAATAGAAATATATTTCAACTGGAGATATTCAGTCATGACGTATATGCTGATTGGAGGATTAAATAAGATCTCCTAAAGAATTCTGCTTTGTAGGAGACAACACAGGGTGTATTTAAATCGTAAGGAGATAGGTGATAGAGCGGCATCTCCGTAATGCTGATGCTTAAAAGAAGATTAAATATTACATATATTTTCAACTTCTGACCCAATATTTACATTACCCCTTTGACGACATCAACATTTTGGTTGGACAAAGATTATAAATCAGGAGAAAAACGCTGATTATTAGTCATGTATAGTTGAATTTGGAATACACATTGTATGCATTTTCATGCAACTATATTTGCTTTTTGATAAAGAAGTAAGACCTGTTTGAAATACAATTATGGAATTTTCAACAGATTTATATACACATATTCTCGGGATTAACTAACTGTCCATTGGCCAACCGATTCTCTATTCGTTTCCGTCCTACCAAGTATGATATTTTATATAACTAGAACCTTTGGTTTACTAGTACGTGAACTGATTCACACATGTAGTGTTCTCGCTAGGCCTGGCGTTGCTCTCCTATTTCCCTTTCATTGTTACACGTGACACGACTACATAAAGTGTCATAATATTATATTAGGGAAAGGTTGGCGATGTCCACGTCAGAAAGACAGAAACCCCCTGCAATGTTTAGATATTATACTTTGAAATTAAACACAGAAAAGGAGTTTGATAGGTCAAAAATACATTATATGATACATACAAGACTGGCGATCATAGCAGGGATTCCAGAAATGATAAAGTTGTTTAAGAACTGTCACGCGATACTACCAGTCGATACAAATACCTGACATCAAATTGTCTATATCAAGAACTATGGGAGGACGTGTTATTTACAAGGCTTTTGTAATCTTTTTCACTAGATAATTGTGACTTAATATTGTACGTCACAGAAAGGGTGCCTGGTTTATACTGTAGAATATGAAGTTAGATGAATGAGGTATCTATCAAAATAGCCATACTAACAGATGTAGCGGTATAGATTGAGATATACATATGTTTCGTCGATAAAGAGATTCATAAGTAATCCAAAACCTCACCATCACCATATTTGTTTTACCATGTACGTCCTACACACAACTCTCAGAAAGTGTCCCATCCAACAATTACACAGTTAATGGAAGAATTCGGTAATAAAGAGTCTATGTTGTCACTTCGTTAATTAATTTCTTTTCTTTTTGATATGTTTTTCATTACTTCTTCATAAAGCGACAAACAAACGATTCTTCAAACGACAAAGACGTTGCACAATCTTATGCGATGTTCTTTTCTACTTTTAGCCTCAAACATCATTGAATCAATAGGACAGAAAGGCCTTGTAAGGATAAAGGGAGAGGCAAGTGGACTGTATCTGTGTTACTCCAGGCGGGGCAAACTCCGCGCCAAAGTAAGTAATATGATCTTAAATACCAGTAGATACATTGTATCACAAGATACAAGGTAGTTACAGTGTAATATCAAATACAAGTACCAGTAAACACATTGTATTACAAGATACAATGTAGTTACAGTGTAATATCAAATACAACTAGATACATTGTATCACAATTTATTCACTTATGTTGATGCTGCAACTCTTAATCAAAACTTGTCGCCATTTAATAGTTCTCTTTCTTTATCTAATATGTTGAAAAATTTGCATCATAATTTTGAATTTCAAATAGTGTTTTAAGTCATGGCGGTAGGTATTTGAAAATGTTATAATTTATGATTGTATTTACCAAAGTTGGTATACTGATATGCTTGACTGGTTATTTCCTTAAAACAAATGACGACTATAAAGTGTTTGACCTGCTGACTTCTGACCATTACTACTACACATTCCACATATGTTTGGTGATATATTTATGTTCCGTCTATCAAAATCTGATATTTTAATTGTGAAATATTATTAATGAAGAACATTGAATTTAAAATCATGAAAAGGACATCATGGTATTTAAATATTAGTGAATTTCATTTCATGCTTGTCAAGTTCGTGCTAGTATCCAGTTTAATTAAGTATCCGATCGTTGCTATGCGGAGACCACTTAAACATGCCTTCTCCCTTCCTGAAATACCTATACCTGATTAAATTCTAATTTTATTCAAAATGTATAATCAGAACTCATACCAAGAACATTAATATTTTGATTTTTTTTGAATGAATGAGTCCGTGAGTTCTATTTCTTACAAGGGCTAAAAACCCCAGGTATATTTATAAAAGGCAACGTGTAAGTCACTCCATGGCCCAGGTCCTTATTTCAAGATCGAGGACAGTTATGATCAAAAATGTAATAAAAATCACCAGCGTGACAGCCGGCTTTGATATGTCCTAAAGAATTTCAGAAACCTGAAGGCTGACCGGCCTACGTAATAAATCTCTGTATCCCTGCCACAGGATTCCTCAGCGGGCTGTACTGTCGTCACAGCAGTAGCAGAGTAGGTCTTGTTTAAGATTCATATACATGTTTCCTTTTGGAGACAGGCATTACACCTGAGCTTAGTGATGTTAGCCACGAACACCTGTGTTTTCTGACTGATGACACAAAAATGTATCTACAAAAATTATATATGTTTAATTTTACAGTTGATTTATAGTTTTTGAAACGTACATGCACCAGTTTTGTTTTTATCATCGTAACTTGGCAAAACTATCCCACACTAATAATTTACACTTTAACACCTCCGGCGATTAAAACACACAGTCTTCTCATAAATACCTGAAACAACCGGCTCTCACATTAGATGTTTTTAAATAGAAGGGAACCAAATTGTTAAACACTATAACGCTGTCAAGATATCACGAAACCCAGCATGCAAAACAGTAGAATGGTTAAAATAGAAATGGCTAAAACAGTTTAGACACAATTATGCGATTCGACAGCGTGAAAGAGACTTCATTTTAATATATTGCTAGATTGTGCAGTGGTGAACACGGAATTGTACTGCGTTCTAAACTCTGTCCGAAGCAGTAATTGTTTTAGTAAAGCGTTGATGTAAATGATTAAGTAACCGTTTAAAGATAGTTAGTCAGCCCTGTTTGCTGTAGGCCGCCATATTGTTGATGAGGACCACCCCGCCCCCCACGCGACCTGCCAGCATTCTCAGGGTGCCGACAGCACGCGCTTTCGGTTATCTTAAGAGTGCAATCGCAATGTCACTGAGGTCAAATATGAAACAAAAACGTGCATGTCTGATGTGCCAACTACCAATTATATGTGCTCGTTCTTACATGGCTTTGCCAACTTTATCGTACCAACAATTTGAGATAAAGAGTAATTAAATGATGTGGTCTACTCTCTGCCGATTCTACTGAAATGGGCGAAATACTTGTAATGATATAGTCAATAAATATTGTTTCAAACGTGCATATAATTTAGCGCAGATTTGTAGATTAGCACTGTTAAATTAACAAACAAGTGTATTATGAAAGAAAGAGAGCAACACCTACGTTGTCATCACCTCGACTTGAGGTGAGTGTGAAGTTAATTACCATCTGTACCGTATTAATACCGGACCATTGTTTAAACTGAACTTGTAAACCGTTTCAAACATTTATTCATATTTTCGGTGAGTGTTTTCTACGGTGTCGTATTATTTAAATCTTACAGCGACATAAATGTTAGTCCGTCTTGGGGGACATCGGAGCGTTCGGCTACAAGTGTGTCATAACATTGCGGGTGATATGCCGATATAGGTGTCACTGTCGACAATGACGGTGATGATACCATAGAACAGAGATTGATCGAGCCTTTCTTATACAGTGTCGACCAGTTCAGAACCAATAGCCATTCAGAGTTACTCATGAGATAGGATGTTTTGTCCACGATTTCGAGGTACACATAGATGTGATAAAACAGACATCGCCTGTCAAACCCAATTTTGGCATGGAATGGTGTGCGTGAATTGTACAACTGCTCGACGAAGCAAGAAAATGTGTCACTTGATTCGTATAGAATAAGGAGTCAAGCTAAAGAATAATAAACCATATTCACCTCTTACTCCGTGTGTGTTTGTTCTCGTCTGAAAAGTCATCTACCTACCAAGCTGTCATAATTTAGGTGAAGAAATTATAAATATGAAATGTCCTCGCGAATCGCATCAATAAGTGAGCTGAAGCATACACGAATAAAAGAAATTCTACTAGACATGTGTACAGAGGAACTAGGCTGTAAACTAAAACCGGTATCATAATACACATTTCACAATATAACCCTCTGAAAAAGAAACATATTCAAGTTGGAATTTCCAAAGTCTTTACGCTGAGGGGGAGTACCTTTTCGAGCATATCTTATATATGACAATACAAAATGTATGATAATCGTGACGTTGATGAATATATTGATTTGTTTGATAGCTTATTCTCTATAGTAATTATCTAAACCGTCAACAGTATTTGAAATTAGGACAAACCCTTCAATGTTTTAATGCTTTCTTTTGTCATCATGCAGTATCGTTATCTCAAAGACTTCTTCCAAAGTTTTTAAAGATAAGTTTTAGTCATCCGGTCACGTGATAAAAGTGAAAGAATTAATGGCAGGACCATAGGGCAGCGGTTGCACTAAAGATTAGGTATGCCGTAACCTGCATGTCACGTTTTACTTCATTCAAATAGTGGTTAAGAATATACACACGTACCAAACGTTGTTAGAAATTATCTGATATAAGAATTTTACCATATCTATTTAATCATGAGGCTGCTTCACCTCCCAGTCTGCATTTTGACTTTTCTTTCGATCGCTGTGGATTTTCCTCCATCGCCTTTAAGACTTCAAATTTCGGCTCCTAGCATCACTGACGATCCAATGAAGGACAGCCGTTTATGTATTTTAATTCATTGTTTGGCTCTACTAAAACTAACACTAAATGTTTTGTAAAGTATTAGAGTACACGAGATAGAACGACATTAATGTCAGTAAGCAGCTCTTCTACAGACTTAAAGTTAAATGATATTAGAAAGCAAACCAACATATATAATAGTAATCATACACGGAATCGCAGACGCTGTCCTTCAGCTTATGTTTTTAAAGAATATTCAACAATGTCGGGTTGACGTTACATTAAGAAGTGAAGGTTAGCCATCATTATCAAGACAAGCTGTGTGTGTTATGTAATGGTTGGTAATGTTTGGGAACGTTTAGTTGGCCGAAATTGCTTCATGTTTTGTGGTTTTTGAGTACCAAATTAGGTCTGTATGCCTGTGTCGTATGGGCTAATTACAGTGTTGTGTACATGGTATAATGACAGACTGGTCTCAGATATGCCTGCCTCTAAGTGATCTCGACCCACATGTCTCGATCGAGTAGCCGGGTCGTTAGACCGTGATCTAGGGATAGAATAGAATAGCCCCTTTTATAGCAAGGGCCCTGGAGTATTGCACTAAATCCCCTATCATCCCTTTCTGGGGGGCTGTTCCGGATAGGCAATCGTTTCATGACCAATCGTTGATTTTTATGTTTTTATCTCCTGAAGGTATTAAGCGGTAAACCAAGTAATACTCGCTTGTCTGACTTTTTAAAAGCGATGAATAGGCCTAATACCTTTTTGTAAGCAGTCTCGTACATTTTAGGATCATATTTGAAGTAATAAATCAAGATAAATCAAGGATATTTTAAGCACAATTCAATATGTCCTGTCAATTACCGATTTATGGAACGTTGGACCGTTATCAATGCATTCCGGGTAGCAAAGTGTGGAATCGTGGTCGAACCCGAAACGCGATAAGCGTCTAGGTCACTCTGACTACAATAGGTGCAAACGTTTCATTGAACATGCCCATATGCAGGTGTGACTTAGTCATGGAACTGTATATAAGTACTATCTATATCTCTTGGTCGATCATTAACACAGTAATACAGAAGTGGACTTGACATATGTGTGACTTTAGGTTTTAACGCCTGACAAATATAAACAAGAAAAGTATTACTGACCGTGTATAAACAGTAAACAGAGGAAAGTTACGAACCCCTCCCCCCCTACGCCCCCACCCTCCCCCCTCCCCCCATCCCCCCATCCCTCCCTCATCCCCCCCTATCCCCCCAAAAAAAGCCCATATATGAAAAATTGATTATATCAATATATTTAATATCAGTAAAGCTGTTTAGTATATATCAGAAGTCGATTTTAAACAAAACATTTGAGAGAGCGTAAATACGTTTCTGCAGGAGTTCAAATCAGCTGTCTCACTTTACTGCATCAGTCGCTCCTCTCCATCTTTTCCTACAACGGAACCAATATGACCAGCTTTCCACTAAGCTGTAAGATAAATATGTTGACTTCATTTCCTTTTTGTGAAATTTCCATTTCTTGACAGCAACATAACTGCATTTATTGAATTTTGGATTATGACTTTCTTCATATGTTAGTCTTTTCCGGTTTTTTTTTCAGCAGAAGACAAATTAATGAATTAATTATGTGTCAGATCGTATATATTTCAGTTTATTTTGTTTGTTTCCAGGCAAGACATTCAGAGTACTGTACGTTCAGATGGGTCATTAACGACAACACAAGACATGACGAATTCCGGCTGAATGTGAACAGTAATTGGTACATCGGCTTTAAGAAGTGGAGAAGAAATAGAAGAAAAGGATCTGGGAAACCTCTTCCTGGATATCACTATAGAAACCCCAAAATGAGGAAGTGTTATCAGTTTCTTGTAACGCCGTTAGATCCACGGCCTCAACAATCGCGGCCACCGATAGATTGGGAGGATAAAGCTATAGTTAATTGGGATCCAGAGGGGCAGTATATCAGACGGACACGGAAACATAGACCTAGATTTCGTAAACAGCATAAACACCGCCACGGTCACGGGACGAAAAAGAATGGCCGACGAAAACATCGAAATAAAGTGAATAGATGAAAACAATTTAGTTCTCTTTAGGATTTAATCAATTACCAGTAATTCACTGTGAGCTAGACCAAAGCTGAAAACATTCCGCATGCGCATGCGCTGTTTTTGTACGCTTTGTCCCTAGCAATCCAGAGCCCAAGCGGCATGGCCAGTACAGAACATGGAACCTTTCGGCAAAATCGCATAACATTTTATCGTTTCGTTGCGATAATACGCAAACAAAATGCAGAATTTTGCATCGTTTGGACTTCCATGTCTGATTACGTGATCCCATTGTGTGGAGGAATATATTCCAAATCAAGACACAAGGCTTTGTTATTGATCATGTGATTGGAAAAAATCTCAACAAAAGTGGTCCGAAAGAGGTCCGTAAAATGAGCAGTTCAGTGCGACAAAAGTATTGTCTTTCGATAAACAAACGTGTTGGGGTGGATATACACCCATGTGATATGATGTGACTGTATCGGTCACACGCCAGACAGGACTGAATTTATATTGTATATTGTGAATGGCAATTCGTATTGGATATTTTATACCATTTTCATTCATGCCAGTAAAACACATTCATCTCCCATTCACATTAAATGCTGTATCTATACTTAACATCCGGTCAGTGTCGGTACTGGATGGGTACATATATCAGTGTCATTACAACTCTTCATCTTAAATCCAAATCCTTGAGACGCTCAAGTCAATGCTACCTCGGGTGCCGGTGATGATGACGTCATTGAAAGAATAACCACAATGAATGACACGGATAAACGTTTGGTTGAATGATGTTTTTGAACCCTTGATCCTATTTCAGACTGTCGGCATGCACCAAACTGACATGTGTCTCTTACACTAGCACAACTGAGGGTGACTGGCGTCAACACAGTGTCGATTGCCCGAGGTTTAAGTGACCATCGACGGCAAAACACTGGCTTTTTTTTAGTTATCTTCAATATTGATAAAAAGTCGGTAAAACGGGTATTTAGATGCATTTCCATATGCAATCGTACATCTTTTTTCATTTCCCTGGGTTTCTACTGTCCCATCTTCTTATAGCTCTTTAAGTTAAACTTTAACATGGTTTCATGCTTGTTGCTAGTATACAGTGAAATAAGAATGCCAGTATAGTTCGTGAAGTCAGTTATTTCATAATCAATTCAAATTAAAGCATATCTTGAAATGACACAACTCAACTACAAACAAGACTAATGTTTTTACTGATCCTATCATCAAATTCCTTTTTAAATAACTGAAAACTTTTCAATGCAGGTTCCATCTTTCAATTATGACTTTTGGAGATATGTAAATATTTACTATGATTTTGTTGTTACTGGAGGGTTCTCTTAATCAGTTTATGAACAGCATTTGAATGTATACTTGTATATTTTCTCGTATCTTTATGAAGTTTTTGGATACTTTCCGACTTTCTGATGTTCTGGTGGGAAAAAAGTCTTACAAAAAAAGGAAAAGTAAATTATGAAGAACCGCTAAAAATAATTACACGTCAGTCATTTGCATGGTGGAAAATGAACGATATGACAGGAAAGTGTATGTTTGTAGGTATAAATGGTCATCTCACTGAGGTATATATCGTCTAGTCTATATTTAGGCTTAAATGAAAGTAGCCCTAATAATCTTCATAAGCATTAGAACCAGTGTATTTGTAATTACTTGATCGTTCAGGGAAACCCCAAGCAGCCATCGTCATGTACTTACTAAGTGTACCGTTACAGAATGGTCGCTTCACTGCCGCTGTTTATAGGTATAGTAGTGAAGACAGCATATATAAACATATATACATATATAAATGTATAGAAAAAATCACATAAAAGTTCAAACAATCTTAATTGTTCCTCGTTAATGCAATGAATTGTAAAAGTTGTAAAGATACTTAAAATTGTACTTATTTATTGTATTTTGTAAATTAAATTATACATAATCAAGTCAATATGAAAATAATGGATCAACTGAATATTGATTTTGAATTAGGTTTTAATTATATTGGATCAGACGAGGAGTAATCTCTATCTTCTTTCTTTTTGTGTTATTTCATTACCCACTTATCGGTTACTTTTGTCTGAGCGAGAGACTCCGGCCAGTATCTATATTTAACATTGTATCCTAGTGGTAGTTATGTTGTTAATGACGTCATCGATAACGTCACTAATGACGATTGCTTTACGAATGCATCCGAAATTTGTTTCTATCAAAATGTTAAATTGGGGGTCACGATTGGAATATTAAAAATGTCATGCATTTTAATGAAATGCAATAAATTACAAATGTTTCCCTACAAATTAAAATAGGACTTTCAGGCAATGTTGATAAACATTTTTTTATTACACGAAGTATGAGTGTTGTATGGTCTCTATTGTTTACACTGAGTGTATAGTTGATATTTATTAACTATCAATTATTGAAGGTGAAATTGAACGCCTATAACTAACTATATATGCTTTTCGTGGTAAGGGATATCCTAATGGTTATCCAACTGTGAGGATAATCCCTTTCTCAGGCCCAGCAGACTTTGTTTAATGTAAATATCCATTGTATCGTGATTGTTACATAGGCCAAAGACATATTTATTAAAGAAATCGTGTACATATGAAATATCTGTACATGTACATAATGTTACTTTGTCCCGTCAGATATTGTGTATTGACACCTGTTAGATACACAAGAGGAACGCATTAAAACCAATAGAAATGACATAACTAAATTTGTCTGTTTTATTTTTTCCCTCTTACTTTCATTACGATATCAAACTGGATGTATACAAAGATCAACGACATATGACAGTTTTAGTAAATTGAAGTACAACAGCAATATATAACAAAATAATGACGGTTGTAAAGAAACAACAAAACCCAATGATGTCTAGTCATTCTGTATTATAATATATGTACATATGTGTGATGGCGTTGTGGTCGAGGGATATAAACTCCGTTTCTCTCTGGTTGCCATATATCACTCAATGTTTACATTTTTACTATTATCTGGAGATATTCACGTCATGTATGTAATATTGGAGATCGTATGGCGACATCCTGCCTCAAAGAGGTTTCATTTACATACGCGATTTAATAGAAAGGTACAAATCAAATATTTAAAATCCTGAACTAGAATATTTAAAATTCAGTGTCATAAACAAAAAGGCACCGACACAAAAAACGCCATTATGTCCTTCCGAATGACTTCGTACGTTTAGGGCGCTCATAACCCCGTCATCACTTACTTCCGAAAGGCTTCACAAATCCCGACACTCCTGACCTCACGACAACACGTTCTCTCTTACATGTATGCATTAGCACAAAAGTACGACCTTTGTATTCTCGAATACATTTGTGAGAAGGAAACATAACAATATTCTGAACAAAAAGTTATAATTTCATTCCATCCGTTCGGAATATTGAATAATGTAAACATTCAAATTCCTTTTATAAACGTGAGCTACACGAACCGAAAATCCTAGAACAATGGTTAATAAAAGAAATAAAACGCGGAATGTTGATGGTAAAATTAAACAGCTAAAACTACAATGTCATCGAAATCAGACGTTACACCAAACAGGATGACATGATGCTATAGCAGTGAGGAACAGACGACACCTAAACAAAACATGTAACCTTGGTGTCAGTAGAAACGAGGAACAGACAACACCTCAACGAAAGATGTAACCTTGGTGTCAGTAGAAACGAGGAACAGACAACACCTCAACGAAAGATGTAACCATGGTGTCAGTAGAAACGAAGAACAGACAACACCTCAACGAAAGATGTAACCATGGTGTCAGTAGAAACGGGGAACAGACAACACCTCAACGAAAGATGTAACCTTGGTGTCAGTAGAAACGGGGAACAGACAACACCTCAACGAAAGATGTAACCTTGGTGTCAGTAGAAACGGGGAACAGACAACACCTCAACGAAAGATGTAACCATGGTGTCAGTAGAAACGGGGAACAGACAACACCTCAACGAAAGATGTAACCATGGTGTCAGTAGAAACGGGGAACAGACAACACCTCAACGAAAGATGTAACCATGGTGTCAGTAGAAACGGGGAACAGACAACACCTCAACGAAAGATGTAACCATGGTGTCAGTAGAAACGGGGAACAGACAACACCTCAACGAAAGATGTAACCATGGTGTCAGTAGAAACGGGGAACAGACAACACCTCAACGAAAGATGTAACCATGGTGTCAGTAGAAACGGGGAACAGACAACACGTCAACGAAAGATGTAACCATGGTGTCGATAGAAACGGGGAATCAACGAAAGATGTAACCATGGTGTCGAGTCAACGAAAGGGGAACAGACAACACCTCAAGACAACACCTCAACGACAACAATTAAACAAAAGATGTAACCATGGTGTCAGTAGAAACGGGGAACAGACAACACCTCAACGAAAGATGTAACCATGGTGTCGATAGAAAAGGGGAACAGGCAACACCTCCACGAAAGATGTAACCATGGTGTCGATAGAAAAGGGGAACAGACAACAATTAAACAAAAGATGTAACCATGGTGTCGATAGAAAAGGGGAACAGACAACAATTAAACAAAAGATGTAACCATGGTGTCGATAGAAAAGGGGAACAGACAACAATTAAACAAAAGATGTAACCATGGTGTCGATAGAAAAGGGGAACAGACAACAATTAAACAAAAGATGTAACCATGGTGTCGATAGAAACGGGGAACAGACAACACCTCAACGAAAGATGTAACCATGGTGTCGATAGAAAAGGGGAACAGACAACACCTCAACGAAAGATGTAACCATGGTGTCGATAGAAAAGGGGAACAGACAACACCTCAACGAAAGATGTAACCATGGTGTCGATAGAAACGGGGAACAGACAACAATTAAACAAAAGATGTAACCATGGTGTCCATAGAAAAGGGGAACAGACAACAATTAAACAAAAGATGTAACCATGGTGTCGATAGAAAAGGGGAACAGACAACAATTAAACAAAAGATGTAACCATGGTGTCGATAGAAACGGGGAACAGACAACACCTCAACGAAAGATGTAACCATGGTGTCGATAGAAAAGGGGAACAGACAACAATTAAACAAAAGATGTAACCATGGTGTCGATAGAAAAGGGGAACAGACAACAATTAAACAAAATATGTAACCATGGTGTCCATAGAAACGGGGAACAGACAACAATTAAACAAAAGATGTAACCATGGTGTCGATAGAAACGGGGAACAGACAACAATTAAACAAAAGATGTAACTATGGTGTCGAT